TCTGACCTAAACCTAAATTTTATCTTTCGTATTCTAAACCCCGAAGTACTCGTGTGAAGAGTACTTTGCCCTCCGAATCCTTATCGTCAGATGTCCGCAGACCGTCAAGAAATACCACTTGTCCAACAGACAAAGTTTGAGCACAGAGGCTATGGACGAATACAGCCCACCTATCACTATTCAATGTATACGCGAGGGTGGTATATGATTACGATTACGCAGATTTAGTATGTGTGTTTCCGCCCTATCTCTTGTTCCTTGTTTGGTTGTGGACTTGGGGCAGAGTCGCACATCCGAACGTCTTACTAATCCTAATCATATACGACTTGTATGTACGAGGTAATGATAGACGGACCAAGTATGAATCCTATCATGGACATTAGGGCAAAGTTGCCAGGTCTACGAGTGGGTATTCTGCAATTCAGAGGAGCGCAACCCCAGTAGTACGGATAAGAAAGCTAATTTCGGGACGAAATTCCATCTAACGGATGGGATGATGTGACAACCCGAAAAATTTTAAAATTTTGCCTGGTAAAGCTCCGCCAGCCAACTCGACTGAGTGTCAAACTCATTTCTGCTATCATTTAGCCTTGTTTAGAGTCCATTTAAAGGTCCAAAGGTCAGTATATTCAAGCATTGAACATAGGAATGGATCGCGTACACTTCTAGCATCAAAACCGGGCCTTACACTCCAACACAAGCAGTGTACGGCTGCACACATGGGTGTGTGGCCGCACACCTCTCTCCTGGCAGCACACTCACGTGTACAAAGGGTAGACTCAGCCTCTTTTCATCACTTTTCACCCTCCCAAGCTTAGAACTCGATTTTTCCCTAAACTACCATCCGATTTTAAGCTTAGATCTTCGAGTTGGTAAGTGTTCTTCTCCCGAATTGTTGTTAATCTTCATAAACTAGTTACATACCTTCATTTCATCCATTTGAAATCATGTTTTGACTAGATCTTCAAGTTACACCAAGAACACCAAGAACACACACTTGTTCTTGGTGATTTTGGACCTTCTCGAGCTTCCGGATCGTAAGTACTCTTTCGTTAAGATTAGAACTTGATAAGAACAAGAGATTAAAGCCTTGAAACTACCCAGAACTCAAGAACATATGAGAATACGGCCGCACACACTCATGTGGCCGTACACCCCTCAAACATCCCCCAAACACCATCAAAACACCCTTAAAGGCTTGTATACTGTAAATACCATTCCCCATGCTTGTTATTTACTAGATAAGAGCCTTAGAAAACGTCCAAAACATGTTCATCAAGGATTGTGCTGCCGCACACACTCTATGTGGCCGTACACCCCTTTGTTTGGTGCTTTAGGGCTTCCAAGGTGCCTTTCTAGCTTCAACACTTGTTGAGCAATAGTCCCACAAACCTCCCCACCATTTGGAAAACATTTTGTGCACTCTTTACCATGAGTGTGCGGCCACACACTCCCCTGGCCACACACCCATAGCCGCACACCCATCAATATGGCCGTACACTCCCATTTAGTGAATCACATGTGATTCCAACACTTGATCAATGTGTTTCCTAGTCCCGGAAGGTGTTTCCTTTCATATAGTTCTTTATAAACACTATATTCATGTCAATATGTGTACTTATATGTCATTTAGGACTTATTGTGTCTCGGGACTTCATTCGTGGAACTTCTCATCCTTACACTCATATACGTTTGAATCACCCACATCAGGTGAGTTCATACCCCGTAATGAATCTTTTAACTGTTTTAACTGTTTTAAGGGGGGGAATACATGTTGAACACAATCATAATTGTGTAAATGTTTGTTATAAACATCTTTCAAAATGTTACTTATGTCATTTATAAGTCTTCAAAACATTTCAAAACTCTTTTAAAGTTATGTTACGTTCTAGTTATACAAAACTTTGTTTTTAAAGTACAAACATAACTTAGTAGATAAACGAGTCTTTCCAGTAATAGTCCAAGTAGAACACTAGTAAGCTATAATAGGTATAGTTTAGAAGAATGCTAATCATTACTTCTAGTACAATGAAGCACATAAACAAACAATACCATACAGAACAAATAATGAAGAGAATCAAAGAATACCATACAGAGAGAACACACAATTACTAGAAACAAACAGAACGTACAAGATACAGTACAAAACAAACAAGTTAGGTTGCTATAGAATGAGAACACACATACATGATCTAATTATACCAGTGAATCACTAACTCATTGTTTTAAACAAAATGGGATAGTTATATTGGGTATACATGATCATATACTTTAATGTGAATTACATGGCTTGCAAGAATTTGCAGAGGTCGTGTTTAGTTCCCCTGATCTCCTGACAGGGAGAGCGTATAGTAAGGGTTCTAGCCTTCACATTATAACCGTAACAAAACAAATATGTTTTTAGGTTATTAGTACATCCGCATGTCATTATAAACGACAACTGTGTACTTACACTTCCATTTCTTTCATAAAGTGACGGTACCACTTGAAAGTCCAACCCAAACTATTTTCGAGTCAAGATAGTTATAAAGTAGGGAAAATATACATTCTTACAAACGACAAACGGAACAGTCGAGTCTAGCACATAACATAAGATGCCTTGGTAGAAGGATACGAGTAAAAGATAGGACCATAATGCTAGTCTTATGATTCCTTAATGTATACATAACATGATATATATATACCAATAGGGTCCGACAGGTAATAGGATGTGTGCTCTCCGCTTCATTTCCTGTTCCTTGTTTGGTTGTGGGCTTGGAACGAATTCACCCAATCTATTTTCTACTCGATTCTATATATATGTATGCTTAGTATACATTGAGTCATCATAAGGGTACCAGGTATGGGTCAGGTTATAGGACACAGGGTCAAAGCACAGTTTTTCTTGTACAAAACATACTTTCGGTACTTTTGGTATACAAAACTAGAATACCTTAGTTTATACAAAATGTTTATGTATAAAACTAATACCCAATAAGTAGTTGGATGTGTGCTTTCCGCCTTAATTTCTGTTCCTCGTTTGGTTGTGGAATTAGTGAAGATTCGCTCAATTAACTTTCTATCCGATATTAGATTATCTATAGCAGTATAAACTAGGCTATTATAAAAGTAGTCACTGTGGTTACTATTTTATTATAAGAAATAAGGGTTTTCTTAAAGAACTTCTTCATTAGATATAACAGAAACATTACAATTAACTCCATGAGTAACAAGTGATTACACCAGGGTTATATATGGCGATGATCTAACAACCAATGGAATGTGTGCTATCCGCCTTAATTCCTGTTCCTTGTTTCGTTGTGAGCTTAGGGCGGCTGCGTACAATCGATTGTTTGTTTACTCTGAGTCTTATATAACTTGTACCCACTTACTACCCACAGAATGGGTTGTAGTGTCATTTTACTTAAACTTCTATCAAAGTAGGAAATATATGATTTTCTAGAGGAATAGGCTAACTTTTCAAAACAGGACTTACAACTTACGACATTTTACAACTACATGTTACAACTACATTTTTAACACCATTTTACATCTACATTTTTAACAACACTGTACAACTTACTTACATCACTAAAATCTTATGAACTCACCAGCTTAATTGCTGATCAACCCTTTCAAATAACTTGTATTCTCATGAGACTATTAGACAGGTGCTCGTGCTGGGGATTCAGAAGATGAAGCATTGTAGCTTCAAGTCTTATTTTGTTATTTGTGTATGAATTCTATGTTTTGTGAACACACACATTGTAAACACTTTCTTTCGAAATAAAATGGTTGTTCATTACTTCCTTACCATATACATATCTCATGATACTAAACATGACGTCGTCCACCCCCGAACGATTCCGCCGTTCCGGTTTTGGGGTGTGACAAACAATAATATTAATAAGTTAGAGTTAGATAGTTAGAGAGTTAGTTGCGGAAAAGTAAAGAAATAGAAATGAAAACAATTGTTATATCAAGTATACACATAAGTTGATTCATAACAAGGAATGCATTCAAACCAAGTCAATAAGGACGATCAAACTTAGTGATTAAGTTACAAAAGACTTGCTCCAAATAGAAGTTATAATCAGTAGTATTCTAGTAAGATTTGAGAGTAAGAAGGGATGCATAGTAAGATAGAGAGATAGAAAAGATAACTTCAGAGATGTGTATTCAGAATAGATAGATGCGTGTTTTGAATACAAGAGAATGAGCTCTATTTATAGAGACTCACGAAGTACACTAGATTACATCTCTAACAGTAGCCATGCAAGGCATACTGGGCAATAGAGAGTGTTACAATAAAAGACAAGTAAAGTAATCTAGTAAAGTGACTGCGGTAGGTAGAGACTCCAGATGCGGTTGCTGATGAAGGAGCTTGACTGCGGGTGCTTGTCGGCTGCGGTAGCTGAAGTTCAAGAGGGTCACTTTTTTTGATTCAACAAAATCGGATGATACTTGAGAGGGAATGAGTTCTTTGGCTTAAAATGGTAAAAGTGACTAAAAATGACTAAGTGTCATATATATACCATAGAGTTTACGGCCGTAAATTCCATTTTATGGCCGTAAACTCCAATTCTTGGAGTTTTGAGACTTTAATGTTGCACATTGAACTCTAGAGTATACTTCCTATAATTACCTCTTGAAGTTAATAGGCTTTAGAACACTCAAACAGACTCTAAACAGTGCTAAAACTTAGCAGAAACAAGTCTGACTTTGATTGAAGTGAATGGTTGTACAAGATAGAAATTTCAGGTTGTCACAAACAAGAAGAAGGTTTACTAATTAATAGTACCAAGAACGTTGTCTTCAAAGATTTGTTGGTGAAAGTTGATATGCGTGAGGTTTTAAATCATATATATATATGTATTTGGAATATGATCTATCATGACCCAATGTGTAAAATTGTTTTGTTATAGAACTTTCAAACCCTATGGACACCATATTATTGTGTTCACTTACTAATAAAAACTAATCAACGATTTTTTTATGCTAGCACCCAAGTGATGGCAGATATGGATAGAATATCCAACCTCTACTTCGGAGCATTGGGAAAACCGGTCGAGATATGTGTGATTCGAAGATGGACATCGAACTTCAGGAAAAACGACACCTGGTTCATCATTGTGCACAAACATGTAAGGATGAAATTGAATCACAAACTACCTCACTCATCCACATTTATGTGCACAACTTTCTTGCTTTTTTTTGTTTCAACAGGGAGATGCAATCCAGCTACTTGAACAAAAAAAAGATGACACAGCTACAGAGTCAAAACTGCTACTCAATGAATGCTATTGCATTACAGATTACACATGGACAACTCCAGATAAATACCATAAAATTCTAGATCACCCAGTTCACATTAACATTGGGGAAGCATCAAAATTGAAAAAATATCTGAATGTCCATCCCTACCAAAACTATGGTTTCGTTTCCAACCACGTGCTCACTTACAAACCATAGCTGACAAGAACATCGAACATCCTGGTATAGTCATTGCATGCACACACAAAGATTACCTTACATTGTAGAACATATGTACACAACTTCCCAAAAAACATTCTCATTGCTATTAAAACTATGTTCAGATTTCATCGGGGTCCTAATAAACATAAAGGAACAAACGAAGAAAAACAAGGAACCCTTCACAGCAATGACACTTGCGGACGCAAAGTAAGTAATACATATCATTAACAAATCTCATCCTACAAATGCATAGGATTTACATTTTAATTTATCACCACCAATACAAGTGCTGAGGAGATCACAATACTTTTATGGAAAGAATGCACATACTGACCTGCAAAGTTTAACCATAATGTTATAATGTCTAATCCCAGACATCTATGATTGCTCTAACAAATGTCAAGGCAACATTGTATAACGGTTAGTTTTACAACAGTATTTCTTATCAGATCACCGATCTGACACATTGTACAATATTAACTAAATATGTATTCTAAACAGGAAGCTTAACCTTAACAAGTAGCAGAGCAACATAGCTATACATCAATCCGCCAATTTCTGAAACCGAAACTCTTCTTCAAAGGTAACTGACAATCTAATATACTGGTAAATAGCATTAATACTCTATTCCACAACTGCACTTCTACTTCCAATATCCAAACTTTTTAAACTTAATATAACCAATTACAAGGTTTGGAACTAAATTTCGTCCAATGCCAAGTCCCACAGCAGTAACAACTACGCTACAACAACTCAAAAACTCAAACTATTCTGACATTGTGGTAACTATTCACCTACATCCCCTATCTCCAAAAAAACACCAATAAAATTCGTTTAGTATCTAATTAAAAGATGTACCAGGGGAAGAAATATTTCACAGAAGCTACAATAACAGACTTTACATTCAAATATTGTTGATACCATGTTCCTTCCAATACATGTGCAAAATCAACACAGAAAAAGGGAAATGGGTGGTTCTGTATATCACATAGAACTATCAGTGATCCAAAACTTCTGTGAGTGAAAACTTTGTGGCAGCATACTCCAATTATCCATACCCACTAACAAATAATTTTTCATCTAATAAAAGTTACAAAGTTTCAGCTGTTGTCACAGACAACACAGACTCAACAACAATTTTTATGTCAGATGAAGCCACACAAACATTGACAAAGGCAACCTCAGAAGAACTGATCAATCGCATCCCAAGTCAACCAAGGGATATCCTACCCCCAACATTAGAGAGATGCAAAGTATCAATAAGAAATTGATTTATACAATGCACAAATTGATAAGCCACCAACAACATCCGCTTCATAATCACCTCAACAAGTGAAACTGGAAATCGAAAACCCATGGTTGTCATCCCCTCAAACACACCAGCTACACCAATGACAACAGCAGAACAAATTATAGTCAGACCAAAAAAGTCGGCACCTGTTGCAACAACACTCAAATCCGAAAAATGGCTACCATCTGAACATACTGGTATATCACATAACTATACTACATGGGTATCGAAATAACGCATACCAATTTTACTGCTTTTATAGATGTCACTTATGAACAACAACGACTAACAAAAGGGAAACGCACAAGAAAGACCACGACGAGGGCAACAATCAACCCAACAACATAGCACCAACAGCCCATCATTACATAACACTATGTATAACAAAAGATAGAAGTACACGTTACAAAAAATGTGCCACCTTTTCTAATATTGTTTTGAATCAATATATTGTACGTATATGTTTAATACTACACATACCAAAATCACATTAATGGCACAAAAAATAAAAACATACAAGAATCACATAAACATAAATAAGAATGTACATCAATTATGGGACATTATATTTTACAATCCTAGGTTTCATCATGTGTTCTCCAGGAAGAAACACTATAGGTTTAACCACAAGGGTGACATGTGGTTCACCACGGGATCTTTCACTAGTTAGGATTATATATAATAAAGATCTGATAGACAGTGGAATGTGTGACTTCCGCCTCATTTCATGTTCCTTGTTTGGTTGTGGCCTTAGGGCAGATGCACACATTCAACTGTCTAATCGATCTGGATTATATATAATTTGTATTCACTAAATGATCATAGAAGGAATAACTACAATCATACTACTTATTAAGAAAAATTAGGATTTTTTGGAGGAACAGACGAACTTTTCCAAAGAACTAAGAGTATACTTTTTATAAGAAAAATTCTTATGAATTCACCAACTTTAATGTTGACACTTTTTCAAACCACTTGTATTCTCAGTATCGTTAGTAGACAGGTACTCTCTCAGGTGTTGTAACGCCCTCGTTTCTAGGCTATGCATTAATATTGACGTAATAGTCTAGGTTAACCTTTTTAACTCATTTTGAAGAAATGAAAAGGAATTATGTGAATATTATGTGAATTATGTGTTTTATGCTTAATTATTAGGATTTAATTAATAAAGAATAAAAATGAGCGTCGAAAATAAATATTAGATAAAACCGATATCTATTAAGAAAGTTGTAGTGGTCGTGAAAAGGATTCTGGATATATAAATAATACCGAAATCCAAGTTATAACGAAGAAGTTATGAACTGTTGAAGTTTCGCGACAAAACCACCACGGTGCCGAATGACGTAAAAAGTGAGTTTTTGATAAACAACTTTTTAGCCTTAGTGATCTAAATGAAAGTCGTATTGTTCGTTAAACCGAGAGTATGCATAAAAAGAACGCCCAAATCTCACTTCGTATGAGGAAGTTATGATTTTTCTAAGTTTCAGCTTAGCAGTAGACAGCTAAAAGCTCGAATTTTAGATCGAGTGATTTTTATCCGACACGACCTAAAATAGAATCGAATGTCTCGTCAATAGTAGTACAACGGTAAAAAGACAAACGAAAACGGACGTCGGATGAAGAAGTTATGAATTTTTAACGGATTTCATGTCCCAGTCTGTTAAAAATAATAATATTAAAATTAACGTCAAAATTAGCCGACGAAGTCTAAACGAAAGTTGTAGAGCGTAATTTTACCTACGCGTGCATATAAAGAACGTCAAAAACGGAGCTCGTATGCGAATGTTATGGATTTTAGAAGTTTAGGCACAAAAATCAAGAAAAAACACGAAATCCGAGAAATTTCGCATAGTCATGCTTCGGCCACGTCACCCTCGCTCGCAGCGCGCCACGTGTCCGAATTGCTGAGTCACCCGAGGCCAGCTGGCGAGGCGTGTCACACCATCCTCGCACCGAAGGCTTGGCCAATCAGAAGCTACCCCGTGCCTTCTCCGTGTCCGATCTCGGTGAGTCATCCGAAGCAGGTGAGTCATCTGAGGCTCGCCCTTATAAATAGAAGGGTGCGAGACCTCTCGGGTATATTTTGGAAAAGTGTAATTTTTCACCCCTTAAACAATATTTCTTTCATTCCAACTTCCACCAAAGCCCCGGTATTATACCAAACACGCAAAATACGTCCTGAAGTGCCAGAAGACCCGGAAAAATTTATCTTTTCGGTTTTGAAGCCCAACCCTCGCAGAGCCCGGTTTCTCAAAAAAACTCCCGGTTTTATTAGAAACGATCGTTTTAGGAAACGAAGTGCTGCACGATTATCATTCAATCAAGTGAGTGTGTAGTCACTTTCACCTTACACATAGATATGAAGTATTTTCTTTAAAATACGTGCTCTGTGTAATTATATTAATTGTTTATTTGAGGTGACTGTTGAATAGATGTTTTATACAAGTTTTAAACTGTATATGTATTTTATCTTACAGATATGTTGGGTAAAACATGGGTAGACGAAATAGTCGGTGTGTGTTAAAATGATGAGAGGCCTCGATGTTGTTGTTATTGTTGTTGTTGTTGTCGTCTAGCGGAGTATAGATGACGACCACGGACCTTTCTAGACAGTTCAGTGGAACACTAGCAGGTTCGCAACTTATAGGTGTTGGTGAACTATATGTTCATTGGCGTACTCCATCCCCCTCATGGTTTCCTTTAGGACATGTATGGCTGAGGAGTCCCCTTAGCTACAGTGTCCATCCCGATGATATTCCTTAGGCTAGGTCCCTTGTGATAGGTGTTTAGGGACGTAAAGTAAGGATAACGGGAATGGGTAATCAAAGTTATTGTTGATTGATGAATCTAATAAATTTATTATTATTATGGGTTGAAAACCCTATATGCTCACCAGGCTCCCAAGCCTGACCCACTCAGCTTTTCATCTTACAGGTAGTGGACCCCGAGCATAGTCGGATGATGATGAGAGATTTTTGGATTATAGGCCAGTGGTTGTAAATAACTGTTGTAAGGCTTATAATGTCTTGTTTATGCTTTTGATCTGTATCGGAACATGACATCCCGAGGTTTTGATATAAAATGAAAATATATATTTCTTAAAGAAAGGTTTTGATAAACTTCTATCATGTTTTGTTTTGGGGACCAATTCCGCAACATCTTTTAAAAGGATTTCTCTGACTTTATTTTAAAAAGCATAAATTAAATCGGTCTTTTCTGGTCGAGAAATTAGGGGATGTCACAGTTGGTATCAGAGCATTAGTTTAAGCGAACTAAGAATTTGTAGGATTTCTAGACTTAAACTTAGAATGCTAAGTGATGATTGTGAGATGAGTGTCTACCATATTTTAGACACGAGCACTGGTTTATTTTAGTAAAGATGCCTAAAATGCTTTTATGGGTAAAGGCTATATGTTTTCCATATATGCCATTAGTTGTTCGGATCTATGGTCTGTTGCCGACCGGATCTGGAAACCTTATGTGTGTAGGATTCTAAGCGTACGATTATGATATTAGAACTAACAGGTAAACGTTTCGGAGTAATAAGGAGAATTTAAGTATCTATCGAGGATAAAGATCTAAATTCGCCTTACTCGGTATATAGATTATAATGGCAAGAACCCGAAGTGGAGCTGGAAATGCAAATAGAGACCAACAACCTCAACCCCAAGTGGTGGAACAGGTGCCTATACTAGGAGATGCACCA